GCTCTATCTACACCACACGTAAATTAAGATTACGACTGGAACCGTTTTTTTTGAAATGGCCGAAATTTTTAAGAATAATGACGAAGACAGTAACTGAACAACCTAATTGTTAAAATAACCTAAATAATATAAATTTTACAAATAGGTTATGTATGACTCTTTTTAAATTGGTGGTTTTTAGTCGAATTTACTTTGTGGTAGATTTTTGAGGTAATTGCTACAACAAAGTTAATAAATATTTCTTCAAGATGACTTATAGGTCAACTAAATGAGTATTCGACTATTTGGTTGAAATTAGGTAGATAAATAGGTAGAATTTTGCTACGATCTCGACCTAATATTACTTTAAAGGAGAGTAAATAAAAGCGGCCAAATAGGTTACTATGGAGGCATAAAATTACGTAGAATTTTTAACCAAATCTACCTAGTTGGATATTCTACTATAAAGACGATTTTTAGTTGCCAAACAGGTAGATATTACCTAAATATGGCACCTAATTTTACTACAAAGGAAATTTAACTTTGAAGTAATTGTTGGTTATTTTTTTTAGTAGTTTTTCCCTTGCTGATATGGTTAAAGTTACTTTTAAGGAGATTTGTGTAAAAGGTAGATTTCTTGGTATAATTTACGTAAATTTAAATATAAATTAAAACCGTTTGGTAAATTTACATTAGAGGTATATTTTTCTAGTCAATTTTACGTAATAATTACCTCAATAAGTAAATTCGTCTTTAACAAAGTCGAGTTATAACTAATGTTATAGAAAATGTTTGCTGGGTAAAGTCTATTTAATGATTAAATTGTTAATATTAATTTTAAAAAATAGATCCTAGATATTTCTTTTTAACAAATTATTATCATACTTTTAAAGTAACTGCGTACATTATTTTTGTTTTTCTGGTTCACATACATATTTAATTAGATAAGTCAAATCACACAGCCATGATAGCGTAAATGGTTTTTTGTCTGAATTTTTCAAATTACCCTATTATTATAACCCCTACAATATTTTGTACTATTTTATTTACGGTTTAAAAAAAAATTGTGAGTAAAGATGTGAGTAACCATTAATAATAATAAAAAAGTTTTGGTTCACGATTGTTAAACTTATTTGTTTAAAACAATTGTAACTAATGTTATTTTATCTTTATGCTCCTATGAAGTTGTAAATGGAATCAGAATATTTTTAATTTTGACAAAACACTATCTGTAATGTAAAACGCTTGAAAAATTATTCAATAAGGCATATAAAAAACAAATCTAAAACCAGCTAACCTTTATAGCCAGATTTTCTAGTTTTGCATTTTTTGATAACATTATTTTGTGGTCGTAGGAAAAATATTGTACATCACTTATATGAAAGTGATTTTTCACACTCGTAATGTAATATACTATATATTTTTAATAAATGTATTAAAGAGGGAACATTAAAAAGAAAAATAGAATTATCAATGATATCATATTCTTTAAAGTTCATTTTTTCTATATGAATCGAAGAATTTCCAGCGCCTACCTCGTACTTGCCGTATAAATCCAGAATTTTGAACTAAATTCTGTGCATAATTCAGCTACTTGGAATTTGCTGCTGAATCGCGCGGTCATTGGTCACCGTATTGCGGTCCGACCACGTCAATTAATGACATATATATCCGGATAAGCGGACTCAGTTTGGCTTGGTGGTCTGTTGGAGCTTCTGTACTTTTGCATTAAATCGTGATAGTCGACGTGAGGTCAAAATACAGTTGGTAACACGTATTTGTATATGTAGTAGAAGTCGACAGTTACAAGCAAGACAAAATTTTCAGAAAACTGTAATGGAATGTTGATATATATCACAGCTTCAAAATTCGTAGATATTTTCGGTGGTTATGGAAAATGAGGTAATGTTTCCAGGGGCGGCCAATTTTAATGGTTTACTCTAAATATGCATATTAATTTAATATTATTTTACTTACAATCGATTAGCAATCTGTAGACTTGAAATCTTCAAAACAGTCGGGAAGCGACGTATTAATTATTTCACTTTCCTAGCTAGCGGGACCATAATATAATTCGTAAGTGATTTCATATATCTCCCTGTTTTTTCCGAAATAATGTTTTCCGTAGCTTTTTCAGCAACTATTTGTAGTTCTGGTGAGGTACATTAAAATAACTGTCGGACATATTTGTAAGTGTGTACTTCACGGAGGATCCAGAATCTTCAATTAATAAACTTGTAAATATACTATCCAATATTATAGAAAAAAGTACTATTTTAAAAAGAAATTATAAACAGAATAAAACAATTGCACCATGGGTCACAAATTCGCCACTAGATAAGATAAAAGAAAATAATAAAATATTCAAACAATTACAGAAAACACCAAATAATTTGCAATTTAAAAATAGGTACAAGTAATATCGAAATACAATAAAAAAATAAAATTAAATTCACTAAATTTAACTATTATAAAAAACAAATTGATTTAAATAAAGGCAGTTCCAGCGAACTATGGCACGTTGCGCAAAGTTTGAGTGGGAATAAAAAAACTTCAAGCTAGAATTAAAAAAAAATATAAATAAAGATGATGAAACATTATTAAATGCTAACGACATTTGCAATGAATTTAATGTAGTTTGCTAAAGTGGGAAAGAATTTGGCTAAAAAAATTGTAAATGATAATTTTCATAAGTTTACTAGAAATATACAAAATAATTCAATGGTGTTCCAAGAAACAAATGAAACTGACGTTTTAAATCTACTTAACTGCTTAAAAAATAAAAAATCGCCGGGTTCTGATGACATTTGTGCAAAAGTTCTAAAAGTTGTCGAATTTTATATAGGGAATCCACTAACATATATTCTAAACAATTGCATAAAAAATCTCTTTTAAAACCTCAAATGGTGATACATCCTTCTGCAGCACTTATCGACAAATTTCTCTATTGACTCACTTATTGAAAATTTTTGAGAGGGTAATAAAACGTAGACTTAATTATTTCTTAAACAAATATGATAACCTATGACCTATGCAGTTTGGATAACCCACAGCCTGGAGCAAAGTCAACCATGTGTATGTCTATTTCTAGATCTCAATAAAGCGTTTGATACAGTTGATTACCATTTGCTATTACAATGCCTAGAAGTCATAGGAATAAGAGGAAATTGTTTATCTTTGTTTAAAGGTTACATAACTAGAGTAAATGGGGAAACTAGTAGTAGAGAAATAACTGAGTATAAAGTACCTCAAGGCAGCGTCTAAAGACCTATACTGTCCAATGTATATATCAGTGGCCTGTTTTCTACTGGTAGCAAAGGAAATGTTTTAGGATTTGCAGATGATACTGCATTTTTTTTTAATGCTGAGAATTGGAATGAATTTAAAACTATAGTAGAAAAAGATTTCATTAAAATAATAGTTTGGTTTGACAATATGTCTCTCATTTTAAAAATATTTCCAAGTAGTTTTTTATGAGAAAATTAGGTATTTGATCTAGTCCCTGAATTAATCAAAGCTTAAGTTTTTTTAAATAGTTTTTTTTTTATGTAATTTTCAGATAAATGTTTAATATTAATAAAAGAATCGTTAGTATCTTATGATTGAAAGTACTTAGAATTTGATGCTAGAGTATATACTGATTGGGAAAAATTTTCAGTGATTGACTATTTCATGAGGGTCTTTTATAGGTTTATTATTTATTTAAAGGGTATTAACTGAACTCAAATCATTCTAGTCACTGTCGTTGTTTGTCTAATGGTTAGGGTACATGTCCGAAGAAGCATGGATGTCTGGGTTCGATTCATGTTGACAACAGATGTTTTTTTTTTTATTTAAAAGTATTTGTTTTTACCCTTGGGTTTCGGAGATGGTCTTAATAATTCGCCGAATTTTCCGAATTTTCAAAATGTTTTAGCCACCTATTTTTCAGAGATAGATTTCCGATTTTTCGATAGTAAATACACAATGTTTATACATAGATTTACGTCTCTTAACGTACATTGAAAATCTAACTCCAAAGATATGGGCTTAGTATGCATAAATACATTTCTCATATACACCAATGCTCTATTAGAGGATTTTTAAGATATATTTCAGAATTTTTAAACTTTTTTAGCTGCCTATGTTTTAAATATACTGATTTTTCGGATGTTGATTTGCGTTTTTTCCTTAGTAAATTGACAAATTTCATTTACAAAATTATTTTAATTATTTTGTGTAATGTTGTCCTTCATTTCCTATTAGTAACATGCAACTTTTCTAAAAATAATATTCTTCTACTCCTAGGCTAAAAATATTTAACTTAGGTATGTAAACATTCCACCTTCTTTTTAAATATATTTTTAATTATTTTGTTCTATTGAAGCCTGTAAAGTGTATAACTCATGTTGTTATATTTCTACTAGCTTTATAATAATGTATGGCAGTAATCCAAGCGGCGACCGCCGTAAAAAGGTGGTCATCCAGTACAAGTACAAAAATATATTTTATTACTTTTTGGGTATTAGATGAATAACAAACCATCGGTCTGGTAGTCTATGACTTGTTCAATTTTTTTTAAATAAAATTTGTATTTTATTTTTTTTTTTGTAAAATTGATCTACATAACTTAAACATTATTTTTTAGTTTACGATGGCGTTTTGACCAATTGAATATAGAAATTCAAGTCTGGCATTCTTATTCTTGACGCAACTGTTTGTCAGACCACCCCCAACAAATTTATTACAACAACAAATTTTCTATACAAGGTATAAGAAAAAATCAAACGTCAAAATTTTTATTTTTTATTCCTCTTTCGAATAAAATTGGTCTGGCACGTTCATACTTGACCAAAATTCTGCCAGACCAAGATTAAGCAAGTCCTTTTCTACTGCTTGTAAAGTGCGAGTTGTTTGTGTTTTTGACATAATTGACATCGTTCAAATCTTAACCTGTTTAATTCGCCAAAATGTGATGTACGTGTTTTTAAATGACATTTACTTAGCTAAATAAGTAAATAATTTTTTATTGAATTAGAAAAATGAAATGCTTTATCAGTAATATCACTAATAGCAAGGAGAAAGTATTATTGTTTAATGCTGATACATTTCAAAGATGTTGTTTATTTATTGAAATAGGAAAAAAGAATCATTTCAAGTACGGTGATTTAATATTAATACCTAAACTTCAAAAATCTGCAGGTTATCATTTGAAATGTTACCGTAATCTGGTTGCTGTAAAAAAATCTGTGGTTAACGAATTTAATAAATCTTTACAAAGAGTTAATACAAATAATGAAAAAAATAGTAACGTAAGTATATATATTGCCTAAATAGTTTTACAGTCTATCTAAGTGCATTTAATAAATATTAGGCTGAACCAAATATTTCTATCAATTCAACTGATTTTGTTACCGATTCTGCTAGTTCATCTCAAATACTGCCATTATTACTATCAAATAAAGATGTGGATAGAAGGATAGGTCTATTGGTAAATTTAATTTGTAATTATCTTTTTTTATGAATTATCTCCTTTAGAATATTTGCTAACTTAGAACCTAAGAACTTCAGAACACTTTTTTAAACTCCACAAAATCAGTTTTAACAAAATTAAAATAGAATTTCATAAAAAATTCTAAAATCGATCTGTTTGTTTTTAGTACAGTGATGAGAAAATATTTTTGTATGATTCCGTTGTAAAATATGCTTAAAAAATCAAGAAAAATTCAAAAATTGATTGAATAAAAGAAAAAAAACTTGCGTTTTACAAGCAGTAGAAAAGGACTTACTTAATCTTGGTATGGCAGAATTTTGGTCGAGTACGAACGTGCCAGACCAATTTTATTCGAAAAAGGAATACAAAATAAAAATTTTGACGTTTAATTTTTTCTTATACTTTGTATAAAAAATTTTTTGTTGTAATAAATTTGTTGGAGGTGGTCTGACAAACATTTGCGTCAAGACTTGAATTTCTATATTCATCTAATCAAAACGGCATCGTAAACTAAAAAAATATGTTTAAGTTATGTAGATCAATTTTACAAAAAAAAATGAAATACAAATTTTATTTAAAAAAAAAGTCATAGACTATCTAATACCCAAAAAGTAATAAAATATATTTTTGTACTTATACTGGTTGACCACCTTTTTACGGCGGTCGCCGCTTGGACTATAGGTTGTTATTTATTTTTTCTACTACCGTGCGTAAAGTACGTACTTTACGCACTCCACGAAGTGTGTAAAGTTGTACTTTTTTTCACTAGTGCGTAAAGTAAAACTCTTTACGCACTAGTTAAAAAAGTAAAATTTGACAAAATTTGTACATAACAAAATATAACGTTTTATTTTATATTAACATTTTTTTGCTATCTCCTTCTAAGACAAATAAATAAATTATTTTTGCTTATATCTATTTAGTGTCCAACAAATTATCAACAGTTTATTTTAATTATAATTTTCTCTAAATGTCATCGATTTAATTAAAAGTAAACATACAGTGGATGTCGATTTTGGTAAAAGTAAGTTGGCCGTGGCTGTGTGGATTAGAAGAACTGTCAATCTCTAAACTTTTAATTAGTACCTACCTTATAACAGAACACGACAAAAGTATACTTAAGTTCAAGATTAGATTCTAAAGCCAATTTAGCATTTTTTTAAACTCAATCAAGTTTGAGAAGGTAAAAAGTTTTACTTTTTAATGTTTGTTTACTTAAATTCAAATTCTATTTGCAGTTTATTATATCTGTCATAATCGATATGGATTCAAATTTATCTAGCGATAGCGAATTTGATAATACTCCCCCAGATATCTTATGAAGTGCACAAAAGGCAACTGAAAATTTATTGCCAGAAAAATCTGCATATATTTATCAGCAAAAATACAATGCATTTATAGAATGGTGTAGGAAGAATAAGGTGACAAAAGATTCGGGAAACGTTATTTTAGCATATTTCTCTGATGAATTGAAGAATTGCAAAGCTTCTACCCTATGGTCGATTTATTCTGTGCTTAAAAGCACCTTAAAATATAAAAACAACGTTGATATTTCGAAATTCAACAAGTTAATAGCGTTTCTCAAACAAAAAAATAAAGGTTATAAACCAAAAAAATCCAAAATTTTTGAACGAGAAGATCTAATTAATTTTCTGTTGAAAGCTCCAGATTCCAAGTTTTTAATGATCAAAGAAAGTAAATGCCTCAGTAAATGCTTGAATGCTCAGTATAAAATTAAAATATTCTGTAAAGTTTTGCAACGAGATGTGTGTTCGTATGGTGTGTTGCCTAACAAAATCAGTTGCTGTCCTAACAAGCCACCGGGGTTGTTAGGCAGCACATTATACCTAAAACTTTTATATTTTTTACAATAGCATTTATTTGGAGTTTTACATGCGCAACGTCAAGATATTTCCTAATGTTTAATAAATTATTTGTAACCTTACAATATGTTATTTTTTAGGTAGCTTTTATAATTGGATTTGCGGGAGCTTGTCGCCGGGAAGAATGATGTAAAATGACAATTAACGATGTGGAAGATAAACAAACAGTGTAAACTGTCAAAGTATCAGTAACCAAAAATGGAATAGAACGCATTTTTACGATTTTAAATCCAAATAATTTTGCAGTTAATTATTTATCTTTCATAAAAAAATATACCTCATGAAGACCATCAAATATAAATTGTAACAGATTTTTTTTTAAATTCTCAAAAGGAAAATATTCTAAACAGCCTGTAGGGATAAATACTTTTGGTAAAATGCCAAGTGTTATAGCAACGTATCTAAACTTGCCCAATCCAACGGATTTTACAGGACACTGCTTAAGGAGGTCTTCAGCCACTATGCTGGCAAATTCTGGAGGAGACCTTCTAACGGTCAAAAAACATGGAGGATGGAAATCATCTGCTGTTGCAGAAGGCTACGTAGACAGCACAATAACACAAAAAAACAAAATTTCTAATAAAATTTTGATGGATGACAGTATGCCATCCACTTCCAAACAAAGCTACAATTTTACCGTTGATAACTCTAATGAAGAATTAGTGGAACCACTCGACAGTGAAACTAGAGTTGCACAAAATATTTCAACCTCTTTACTTGAAAAGGCCAAATCCATACCACTTGAAGCTCAAAATAGGGTTACAGAAGTAATATCACAACATTTTTCATATTCTGTGCTGGAAAAGGCCAAAACCTTAAGTTTTGGTAATTGCAATCATTGCAAATTCAATATTAATATTCATAAGAGTTAAAAACCTATTTTTTTTAAATATTTCTTCATTTGTTAGTCATTTTGTTCTGTAAGAATTATAAATTTGTAAAGTTCCAATAAATTTATTTTTGTTGCTGTGTACAATTTTTGGCATATTTTACTTTTTTTCACTAGTGCGTAAAGTAAAGTACTATTTTTCACTAGTGAAAAAATGTAACTTTTATATTTCTAATATTAGTGGATTATTTGTACGGTAGTAGAAAAAATATTGTATGCCACTCGTGTGTAAAGTCCCTCTAACTTTACACACTTGTTGTATAAATAACTATTTTATTAATGTAGGTGGCACATAGGGAGTTGATTGGGGTTAGTTTACTATTTTTTCATTTATGTTCCACTTCGTATCTTAAAAATGATTATAAGCATTTTTTGATGTAATCTTTAATACATGGGCCATGGCCCTTGTAACTTTTTAAATTGTTACCTTGTATAGAAATTTGCTCAGAAATTCATAAATTATAAATAATACATTGTTACTATAATGCATAGATTATTTCGCTAAATGCGAATTATTCTTTTTAGCATTCAAGTCTTATTTTTATATTGCCATCTCCAATTCATGCGCTCATTTGACAAACGACCTCAGAGCAACAAAGCTACGAAATTTCTAGTACACAGAACAAAAAATTGCTTTCATAAAGAACGCCAGAGGCAGAGCTCTAACCACAGATGTTAGTGCATTCCACTTTTGTAAAATTAATAAAGCGCTACTCTACAAAGTATAATTTATTCTGGTCGTCCGTTTTTTTAAATGTTAAAATTATATACAGATGGTGTTGCAGGAGCCAGTGTAGCAAAATAGAAAATGGAAGGAACGACAGCCATGGAAAATGTACGTGATTGAGTTTTGTATTTTGAAATGCTGCAGAGTAAAATGTCGTGGTTTTATTTTACTCTCTGGCGAGCTTTTAATTTTAGTAATCTACAAAGTTAATGGTTAATTGCTTTTGTAAATAATAAACGTAAAAGAACTGATAAAATATTTTAGATGTACTAATTTGTTTCCTGCTGTCTGAAGTTTAATTAACCACTCAAACATATTAAATTTGTGTAGTTATGTTATAAATGGGTAATTGTCGAAAATTCGTTCCAAAAGGTTAAAAGTAAAAAAAATAAAAAAAAAATTAAAAAATTAAAGTAATGTTTTTTTTAATCAAAAACATTTATCTGCATAGCTAGAACAAAATTAGTCGCGTGGGCGAGATTAATAAATGGGCAATAATGGTTTTTTTCTCAATTTTCAAAAACAGGTCCACGGAAATAACACAACCGTGTGCATTTGATTTAAATTTCAAAAAGGCCTTAAAATACTGTTGATTTTAATTATTTTAGTAAAGTCTTCGGTTTTAATAATTATGTTAAAACATAGTTGAGAAAACAGAACATTAAGAATTAAATCTTATAATTATACATTTTTGGCAAAGTTATTCCATGGAAATGATAATTAAGGAGTACAGAATTGCAAAAAAAATTATAACTATATTTGCAAAAGTAATTAAACTTTTATTTTAATAAAAATGTTAGAACATTTTGTGAACATGTGAAGAAAATATTACTACTTAAAACTAATTTTTAACGTCAAAAATTTCATTTTCTTAAAATATATATTGATCCTTGTTAATCACAATCGGCTGACTAAGAACCTAAGAACATCGGTTTTTGGATACACAAATTTGTTACCAGACTTTTTTAAAAATCTTAGCTGAAAATTGTCTTCTTCTATGGACAGAACAATAGCTACACAGTTTCGTTCGCATTTTACCCCAGAAACTTTTATAACGACATAGTCATTTATTTACACATCTGGACGAGCAGGTGGGTTAAACTTCATTGATTTCATTTTCAGACTCGTCACTGGAAGACGTGTATACATCAGACACTAGAAGTTTTGACTGCAACGTAGTAAGCTCAAAAATTAGTTAAGGAAATACCATCAAATCGAAATCCATGAGAACTTGAGCATAATTATATGTGTGGGTATGTGTGTATGGCTTTTATTACATAACAAGAACCACATACAAACATATATTGAATAAAAAAAGGATACTTGCGTCATTCTTATCGATATTAATTGTACCAATGCTGTAATGAATACAATTTTCTTCTGAATCGCATTTAAAACAAGTCTTCTGGCATAAAAGACAGTGGGATTTGTTTTTTACCAGGTAAGCTGATGTATCGCCATGGTACCTTTAAAAGGTTTAAGAGTTACGTTATCCAAA